GGACGGTGGCCGGGCTGCGTGGGGACCCCCCAGGGAAGGGGAGGGACGGGAGGGGTGAGCCAGTGCACATCCCAGACCTGCTGACACATCCCAGACCGCCTCCCTCCGTACCTCTCCCTGGTGCGGGAGGGCTCGCCCTCACCCCTGTGCAGCCCCTCTCCGAGCACAGCCGAGCGTTTCGCTGTGTGTCAGAGATGCGGCCGGGCGGAGGTTGTCTCCCAGGGCTGGAGGACCTCTTGTGCCCGTCCTGTTGACCCAGGGTGACATACAGGCTGAAGGGAGCAGGGTTGTTGGTGGGGAGCGCGGTGATCGGAGCGGAGTCAGGCCCAGGGGAGGAGGGTGCGGGGGGCTGCAGTCGGGTCCATCTCTGCCGTGGTGCTGACATCTCCTTCTGCCCCCAGATCACGCGGATGGAGTACGTCCACACCAAAAGCCTGATCTACAGAGACGTCAAGCCAGAGAACTTCCTGGTGGGGCGGCCGGGCAGCAAGCGGCAGCACACCATCCACATCATCGATTTTGGCCTGGCCAAAGAGTATATTGACCCTGAGACCAAAAAACACATCCCCTACCGAGAGCACAAGAGCCTGACAGGGACAGCACGCTACATGAGCATCAACACCCACCTTGGGAAAGGTGTGTGAGGCCAGCCCTGCCTCTCGGCCGAAAGGGAGAGGGAAGGGGACTGCAGGGTGCCAGCTCCCTCTGCCAGAGCCGGGGCTGGGGACAGACTCTTCAGCCTGGGCTCTAGGCGGGGGACTGGGGAACTGCAGGGTCTGGCAAGGACAGGGAACGCAGCCACAGTGGGAATGTGCCCGTGTGTCTTTTTGTCTCCGTGCAGAACAAAGCCGCAGGGACGACCTGGAAGCGTTAGGGCACATGTTTATGTACTTCCTCCGCGGGAGCCTCCCTTGGCAAGGCCTCAAGGTAACGGCCAGCTCCTGCGGTCCCTGGGCACGGCTGTGCCCTGGCGTGGGTGGCATTGGGTGTGCGGGGCAAAGCTGTGGCTGCGGGGTGTTGGAGGGTTGTCACCCCGCCCGGTGCCGGGGGTGTTGCTCTGAGCTCTGCGCCAGGCCCTTGCTGTGCCGAGCAGCTGTATGTGTCCCCTGCCCTGTGTCCCCCTGCTTTGCAGGTATCCCGGCTGCTCTCACAGTGGCTGTCCTGGAACTGCTCTCCCTGGTGTTTGGCCTCTGGACCTGCCCTAGATGGGAGGTTCCCTGGGAATGAGCTCTCGCCGTTACCTGGATAAGGGGGACCAAGAAACCATTCGTGGTCTGATGGCACCCAGTGCCTTCCCCTCTGCTGGGGACGTGCGTGGCCCTCGTGCTGACCTGCTCCTTGTCTCTACCAGGCTGACACGCTCAAGGAGAGGTATCAGAAGATCGGCGACACCAAAAGAGCCACCCCAGTGGAGGTGCTCTGTGAGAACTTCCCAGGTGAGGGCACTCTGTGTGGCCTGGCCCTGGCCCTGGAGCCCACTGGCCTGGCATCTTGTCCCCCTGCCCCAACCGACCCTCTCTGTCCCCGCAGAGGAGATGGCCACGTACTTGCGCTATGTGCGGCGGCTGGATTTCTTCGAGAAGCCGGACTACGACTACCTGCGGAAGCTCTTCACAGACTTGTTCGAGAGGAACGGTTACGTGTTCGACTACGAATACGACTGGGCAGGGAAGCC